CATTTTGCCCTGGTTCACACTGGTGTGACTTGTCATACAATTTGACAGTGTCAAATCGCATGACAAGACACACCCTATTGTTCGCAATGGAAATGTTCTAAACAGTGTGACTCTGACTCCATTGGAGTCACACCGATTTTGAAATCAGTTCCTGCACTATTGGCAATTTAGGGTGTGATTTGCATAGACATCTGTACATGAAGTCGCACAGATTTCTTACAAGTCATACCAACATCCGACTTTAAAAAGAATACAATTTCAAGGTCTTATTCAGTGTGAACCTGGCTTGATCACGAGAGTCACCTTGTTTTTATTGGCACAATGGTGCCCTAAATGTTTTCTTTTAATACATGGGGACACATTCTCTTGTCTCAGATCAAAAGGTTATCAAAATGTGTATATATATATATATGTATGTTATATTTATATATACTGTTCCGGCTCTCGACTGGGCGTATAAGACGACCCCCCCCCCCCCCCCCCTGCCTTTACATGAACTGTTAATTGGCATCCCAGTCTTAGTGCCCCATCTGTAGGGTTCAATATTGAGTTGTGCCCATCCCTTTGCAGCTATAACAGCTTCAACCCCATCATTGGGGAGGCAGTGCCCGCTCTAGGTTATACCTTTTTTTGCCCCAAAAAATCATATTAAATGCGCATCATTTTTTGTAGTGGTCAGTGGGGGGGGGGGAAATAAAAGAGTGGGGGGGGGAAATTTACTATATAAATATATTTATTTTAGGAGCCTGGAAAGCATTGCATCAGCGATCAGTAGATCACGTTAATGCAGGGCTCCTGCAGACTGTTGGTGTAAGCTGTCGGTGAGGAGGCGGAGCCTGTACATCATACGGGCAGACAGTTACACACTGACAGTAAGAATCAATTAACTTCTAGAGCGCTCAACAGCTCCATAGTTAATTGAGAACTACAAGCCGACAGCCACAAAGGATATCTGTCATTGTAGTTGATTCATTCACAGAACTCTGTGAATGAATGACGCGGCATCCCGCTTGGGTGGAGCCCCACACATATCCAAAACACGCCCTTTTACCAAAATGTAACCCCTAGTATAGGGAACTTCCCTTGTACTGCTGTCACACAGAGAGCTTGGATCTCCAAGCTCCGGTACAGGAGTGGGAAACTCTGTGAATGAATACTTGTTCCACCCTAAAAATGGGTGGAACATGTAAAATATTCCCAAAGGTGAACTTCTCTCCTTTATTATCCTATTGTGCGTAGAAAACACATCTGCCTATTGTCTTTTTTTTTTTTTTTTTAACTTCACTCCTTTTGTTTTCTCAACTACAGCATGAGAACTAATTGACCTATTAGTCTGAGATAGAAAGAAGAAGAGCTAAATAGTTTGGGATAACATAGGCAAAAGGGCACAGGACAATCAAATCTTTGGGTCTTTCTGCAACTTACCACTGAAGATCAGAGTGATTTCCAGAGTGCTACAAATGCAGAAAGAGGGCTTTAATAAATGTCTTTTTGGCATGGGGAACATGGAAACATGTACTTATTCATTTATCTAGTTAGGATCCTGCCAGAATTCCAGTTAAACCTAACTTTCTGTAGTGAGCTGACAACTTTTCATTGAAATTTCAAGTACTGTCAACAGTCCTTCCCAGCTTACTTCTGTGCAGAACCCCCCCCCCCCCCCATGTTATGGAGATGAGACAGTCATTCGTAGTTGTTTTGTAGTCCTCATACCTCAAAAGAAGCCTGAAAACATGCATCCACCACATCTAAGGGCTGGTAAGCACAACTATATCCATTTTTTGTTGGGTTTAGAAACATTGTAAAATAAATCTGTCACTTTACTCATTCAGTCACCTGCTCATTTTCTGATATCTTTTTTCTTTGTTCTCTGCTGCTGCCTTGTTCATTCCTGTGTAAGCTCCATGACAGTCTGTGTCAGAACTTAAACAAGATTAATAACCACCTCCCCTTACTAAAAATAACCATAAATAAGCCTAACCACGTGCCTACAGGGCACTTATACCCCCTTCCTGCCCAGGCCAATTTTCAGCTTTCAGTGTTGTCACACTTTGAATGACAATTGCGCGGTCATGCAACATTGTGCTCATATGAAATTTGTATTATTTTTTTGAGACAGATAGAGCTTTCTTTTGGTGGTATTTAATCACCTCCTGGGTTTTTTATTTTTTGCTAAACAAACCAAAATCAACTGAAAATTTTGAAAAAAAATATTTTTTTTTCTTAGTTTCTGTTATAAAATTTTGTAAAAAAGTGGTTTTTCTCCTTCACTGATGTGCGCTAATGCTGCAGTGACGGGCACTGATGGGCGGCACTAATGAAGAGGTACTGGTAGGTGGCACTGATGGGCATCGATAGGCATCGCTGATGGGCACTGAAAGGCAGCATTCATATATGGCACTGTTAGGTTGCACTGACTGGCAGTGATAGGTGGCACTGATTGGCAGCACTGATAGGTGGCATTGAAAGGCAGCTCAGGTGGGCACTGATATGTGGCATTGATGTGCACTGGTATGGGCACTGATATGTGGCATTGATTTGGCACTGATGGGCACTGGCAGGTGGCATTGCGCACTGACAGGTGGCATTGATGGGCACTGAGAGGTGGAACTGATGGGGCTACACTGATCATCAGGGCACACTGTTCATCAATGCCCTGATGATCCGTGTACATGTCCACTCTGAGTAATGCTGATTACAGGCTTTCCTCTCCTCACGAGCTGTCAGCATGACAGCTTGTGGGGAGAGGAATGCTGATAACCGGCATTTCCTTTTTTACATGCGATCAGCTGTGATTGGACACAGCTGATCACATGACAGAGCCGTCGTCATCGGCTCTTTCCGTGGGAGTGGGAGGAGGTCCTCCCAGAACGAGAGAACCGCCTTGCGCCCATCATTTCTTATATGGCGGGCAGGTGGCGGTTAAATAGGGGCACATAGGGGAAAATCACACTATAATTTTTGGCCATTTGGCACAGTAAAAATAAGTTGGCTCTAAAGATGTGTGCCCCATCCCTGGCTGCTGCAGCGTTTATTATATACTGTATGTTACTTTTACAAATGCAGATGTCCTCTGTTGGTACCAAACATCTGGCATTGATACTTGTTCAGGGATGTTGAATTCCTATCGCCCGACGCCCGGGACATGTAGATCCGGGCGCCGTAGAGGTAGTTTTTTTTTACCTTTTAGCCCTGCTGCGGGCAAGTAGCAGGCTCACCTGTCAGGTGGAAGCAATCGGCGGCAGCACAGCCGCCGATTGCTTCCACACAGTGCCAGTCTCTCCGTCCTCTCGTGTGAACCTCCCCCTGCCCACTATCTCCTGGGCTCTGCTTGCCCATCTGTGGGCCGGTTCACTGCTGTCAGCTAGAGTGGAGGGAGGAAAGCGGAAGCTTCCACACCCCTCCCCTTCTTGTCCTGACCTGGAAGTGACGTTATGATGTCATTTCCGGGTCCCTGGTGAGAGATTCACTAAACGTTATGCGTTGCGATGTGCACTGCTTTACATTCAGTGTAGTACAGGGGAGACATGCAGATGTCTCAATAAAGAGAACCTGTCACCTAATATCCTCACAATAGGGTACTTTGTCCCCTATGTGATGGAAAAAAAATTAGGTGAATATATATATATATATATATATATATATATATAAATATATATATTTATATAATTGTAAAAAATGAAAGTTACACCTAAGCACATAACATCCCAAAAAAATGATCCCCCACAATTGCGCACGTACAAACATAAAAGCACACCTTGGGCGCCTACACATGTAAACGTCGATTGCGATACAAACACATGTCGCATGCTAGGATGAGAGCAATAATTCTAGCACCAGACCTCCTCCGTAACACTAAACTGATGACCTATAAGGGGCTTTGAAAGAATCGCCTATAGAAAATTTAGGGTACTGAAATTCATCGCCATTTCACAAGCATCCACAAATTTAGGGTTTGGCATGTTGGATATCTGTTTACTCAATGCAACCTCATCTTTTATATTTTTCAAAAAATAGGGTCAGTTATTGCTTTTTTTGTGCCGTAAAATGAACGTATTTTTACAGAAATTTTGCAGTAATATCATGCGACATAAAATATGGGAACTACCACTTTTATTCTCTAGGGTTTCTGATTTCAGAAAACATATAATGTTTGGGGGGTTTATGTAATCTTCAGGCCTAAAATGATTTTTTTAATCCTGTGCAAAAAACGGCTCTGGCAGCGAAAGGGATAAAGGATAAGCCCGACACTCCCCTTTCCTGAGGAGCAGCCAATCGGTGCTCATTACACTGCAAGGTCTCTCTCCTCTCTGCTAGTCCCCGGATGTGGTGCTGGAGACAGGCTGGGGGAGAAAAAAAGCGCAATGTTAAAAATGTTACACATTTAAGTCGCCATAAAACCACTTATGTTTTTAAAACAGTCCTAAAATCACCTCTGATTTAAATACGGTTTTGGTTAAAATTACTTTTTTTTTTTCATCTGGACAAATAGATTGGTGTACCGATTTAGTCCCTGGACAAGTAGTTTTTTGAAACATTTCCACACCCCTGTTGTAGTTTCAGTTGCAGTACACTGACCACTGTTGGTTGTTCGCACAACACTTCTTCTGTCACAAATAAACTTAACTACCTGTTAACAAAACGTCTTGCATTCATTGAAAAGAATGCAAGGCTTTTTATGAATAGAGAATGTGTAACTTCCTGTGATAGCTGGAATGCAGCCAAAACTACATGTCTCAGCTCCTTATGCTGTTGCCATCAGCAGGCTGATGCCTGAGTAAATTTTGGACACATAGCAAAACCTGCAGCAGCCAGAGATGGGGCTCACATCCTTAGTGCTAACCTATTACATACGTGAAAAGGCTAAAAATAATGTTTGACCATACTTCTGCCAGCTTTAAAGAAGACAAAATGCAAAACTGAAATTTTGGCTTTTTCCTGATAGACCAAAGTTACAGATTCTCTTTTAAAATATTGTTTCAATTTTGTTACAGGCGAGAATGGAGGAGCCAGACAAGGAGGCAATGGCAACTGCAGTTCAGCGTGTAGCAGGAATGCTACAGAGGCCTGATCAACTGGATAAAGTAGAGCAATATCGAAGGAGAGAGGCTCGAAAGAAAGCATCTGTGGAGGCCAGGCTGAAAGTAAGAATTTTTGGAGTTGTGTTTCATTTTTTTTTGGGGTCTCTACACATGTATACATAATTTCAGTGAACAAGCACTGTATAAAGAACATGCAGATTTAGGGTTATTTTTCAATGTAAAAAATTTACCAACTTCAGGATTTACATTACTTAAAAAATCTGCTAGCTTATGAGGGGCTAGTTCCAACAAGTTGTATGCCTGCTTGTGGACTTCTCTTTTATTATTTGCATTTTTATTTAGCACCAGAAGTATAGGTATCGAAATATTTCCATAACTCCAGTTCTGGACCTTTGGGTCTCTGATAAAGCAGCTGCAGGATCATTTACAGCCTCTCTGCCAGTCCCTCCTCTCCTCTTGCCCAGTCATGGAAGGCTTTGTATCCACAGGTTTTCATTGTGCACTTTTATGACCTTTTAGCTGCCAGCATCCTAACAACCAATGACATCAGTTAACAAGGAGGATGTTGGGTGCCTGCAAAACATCCTTTTTTGCCCCTCTCCATCAGCACTGGGGTCACATTAGCACAGAGAGAAAGACACACTGGAATACTAGTCAGTACCAGTGTGCAATGGTATATTTGCTTTGGAAGAATAAATCGCCTCTAACAGTGGGTGTACCACTTGTGTGGATGTGTGTAGATAGTTTTTTACCTTTTTAGAATGGGGTGCCTTGAGACTATCCATAATTTTAAAGGGTTCCTTGAATGAAAGAAGGTTGAAAAACACTGGCCTAAGGCAATATAGTCAGAAACTGTCTGTAATTAGCAGTGCACTGTATGAAAATTAGTTTTTTCTTTCCTACTCTGTGCCTAAATGATTGCATTATACAAGAGAATTTTACAGAAATGTTTGGCATTACTACTTTGTACATTGGTCTCAGTGATGTATCTGTTCCTCCAGCAACAAAAGACTATACATTACATAGACACTGAGTGTGTAAGTAACCTGTAATTTAGATAAAGGGAACATTTGGAAGCAGCGCATTGCTTTGTCTTTGTCAGGTCCCATCATTCAGGCACTGCCGCAGACAGCCCTGGGTGATCCTATCACCTTCTCTGAGGTCCTGAGTAGCTCTGCATGTACAGAGCGGCACAGTTTCCATTTTGAGACTCAGCTTAAGCAGTTCCAGCCAGCTGCATTATATACTCAGCCTGAGTAAGCTGCAGAAGGCATCAGAGTGGCTGAATACTTGGAAGAGAATACTGGCAACTAACTCTGAGAATGGACACAGGGGCACTCTTCATCTTAAGCCTTCCCTTTCCCTAGGTCATAAGGGACTCGATCACTATCCATGATGGCGCTGTCATGCCAGGAAACGCCTGGACAATTAATTTAGTCAGCTAAACGTGCCTCCAAATATATCAATAATAATTTATAAAAATAATTTAACTCCATTAATAATTCTGAGTTAACTTTGAGCCAAACAAAATCCTTTAAGAACACATACAAGATCTGTGTTAATATGGACTGCAAGATATTAATTAATATTTAGTTTCTCCCTGTAGACAAAATAACCAGTGCTAACTATCAGACAATAGTCTGTGTTTTACGGAATTTCAACAGTTATTCCCCTGCAGAAGGAATAAGCATCAATCTACACAAGAAAGGTGTTACATTCTTTTTATAGGTGAATTTGTCTCATACCAATGTTTGTTTTTGTATTACCACCCTTTTGCCACTGAGTGTCACTTTAAGATAAGTCTGGACTATTTTGAGTTTCCTAAAATAACTCATCTGTTATAGGGAAAGATTAATATTTCACTAATACAAACTGGACTTTGTGACAACTGTATAAATGTCTTGGAGGGTAGATATAGTATGTTATTCCTAATTTGTAATGTAAAACCTTAAATTAAAAAGAGTTGTAGTTAAATGTATACTGATTAAAAAGATTATTTATAGACAAACATGTATATATATATCCATACAGTGCATACAAAAAGTCTGCACACCCCTGTGAAAATGTCAGGTCTCTGTGATGTAAAAAAATGAGTCAAAGATAAATAATTTCAGAACTTTTTCCACCTTTTTTAATGTGACATATAAACTGTACAACTCAATTGAAAAGCAAACTGAAATCTTTTAGAGGAGGGGGGGAAGTAAACATAAAAAAACTAAAATAATGTGGTTACATAAGTGTGCACACTCTCTTATAACTGGGGATATAGCTGTGTTCAGAATTAAGTAATCACATTCAAAATCATGTTAAATAGGAGTCAGTAGTTACATAGTTAGTCTGGCTGAAAAAAGACAAAAGTCCATCCAGTTCAACCATTTAAAAAAAAAAAAAAAAAAAAAGTTACAATCCTACACCCACAGTTGATCCAGAGGAAGGCAAAACCCCCCCCAGCAAAGCATGATCCATTTACTTCCTGATCCCACAAGAGGCAATCGGATATTCCCTGGATCAACTTTACCTATAAATGTTAGTATCCAGTTATATTCTGTGTATCCAAGAAAGACTCCAGGTATTTTTTAAAGCAATCCACTGAGCTGGCCAGAACCAACTCTTCAGGGAGTCTATTCCACATTTTCACAACTCACTGTGAAGAAACCTTTCCGTATTTGGAGAGTAAAAGATTAAATTTCTTTTCCTCCAGACGTAAAGAGTGCCCCCTTGTCCTCTGTGATGACTTCAGTGTGAATGACTCTACACCGTGTTCACTATATGAACCACTGATGTATTTATACATGTTGATCATATCCCCTCTTAATCTCCTCCTCTTCTCAAGAGAGAATAAATTAAGTTCCTGTAATCTTTCCTCATAGCTGAGCTCCTCCATGCCTCTTATCAGTTTGGTTGCCCTTCTCTTTACTTTTTCCAGTTCCCCAATGTTCTTTATTGTGAATTGGTGCCCAAAACTGAACTATAGTTCACACCTGCCATCATTTTAAAGTGCCTCTAATTAACCACAAATAAAGTTCAGCTGTTCTAGTAGCTCTTTCCTGATATTTTCTTAGTCGCATCCTACAGCAAAAGCCATGGTCTGCAGAGAGATTCCAAAGCATCAGAGAGATCTCATTGTTAAAAGGTATCAGTCAGGAGAAGGGTACAAAAGAATACCATGGAACACAGTGAAGACAGTCATCATCAAGTGGAGAAAATATGGCGCAACAGTGACATTACCAAGAACTGGACGTCCTCCAAAATTGAAGATGAGAAAAAAAAAAAAAAGACGAGAAGAAAACTGGTCTGGGAGGCTGCCAAGAGGCGTACAGCAACATTAAAGGAGATGCAGGAATATCTGGCAAGTACTGGCTGTGTGGAATATGTGACAACAATCTCCCGTATTCTTCATATGTCTGGGCTATGGGATCGTGTGGCAAGATGGAAGCCTTTTTTTACTAAGAAAAGCATCCAAGCCCGGCTAAATTTCGCAAAAACGCATCTGAAGTCTCCCAAAATCATCTGGGAAAATGTGCTACGGTCTGATGAAACCAAGGTTGAACTTTTTGAGCATAATTACAAAAGATATGTTTGGCGCAAAAATAACACTGCACATCACCAAAAGAAAACCATAGTCACAGTGAAGCATGGTGGTGGCAGCATCATGCTTTGGGGCTGTATTTCTTCAGCTGGAACTGGGGCCTTAGTCAAGGTAGAGGGAATTATGAACAGTTCCAAATACCAGTCAATATTGGCACAAAACTTTCAGGCTTCTGCTAGAAAGCTGAACATGAAGAGGAACTTCATCTTTCAGCATGACAACGACCCAAAGCATACATCCAAATCAACAAAGGAATGGCTTCACCAGAAGAAGATTAAAGTTTTGGAATGGCCCAGACCTGAATCCGATCGAAAATCTGTGGGGTGATCTGAAGAAGGCTGTGCACAGGAGATGACCTCGCAATCAGACAGATTTGGAGTGTTTTTGCAAGGAAGAGTGGGCAAATATTGCCAAGTCAAGATGTGCCATGCTGATAGACTCATACCCAAAAGACTGAGTGCTGTAATATAATCGAAAAGTTGTACACTTTATAGCTTACATTAAAGGTGGAAAAAGTTTGGAAATTATTTATCTTTGTCTCATTTTTTTTTTACATCACAGAAACCTGACATTTTAACCAGGGGTTTGTAGACTTTTTATATCCACTGTACCTTCATATAAACCTAATAATTTGCATACTTAACTACTTATTGATTAGAGACATGGCAGCACAATTACAATATTTCTGCAATAAAGATACATTTCAACAGTCTAAATATATAATGGGATTACACAACACGCTGTGTTTAATATTCAGACATCATTTCTAGCAATGGGATCTTGTGTCAGGATAAAATCTTTTATAGATATCTTGCAACATTGTGTTACGATTTAAAATCACATACTTATACATATGTCCATGATATTTATAATGGTGTTGTCCAGAAAAAGAATTTAGTTATATGTATAGTTTTAAACATATAAATAGTTCCAAGATTCATTTGTATAACTTCCCATAGAGATCTCTTTAATCAGAGGTGTTTTGTCTCTTGTTTACCCTTCCCAGAATTGAAACAATGGTGAATTGTTGAATGACTAGTCTGTTAATTTCTTATGTCCATCGGGTCACACATATGTGGTGTCTCCACAGTTTATATTTATGGGGCCTGGAAAGGCTGGTAAATATTGTTCATTTGTTTCAGGTGCAGTAAATAGGATGGAAACCCATCGTTCCTGCACTGAGAGGTGTCCTTGCTTTTCTCAATTCTGTACACACTTCATTTGCAAAAAACTAACTCTCAATTGGGAAAGAGATTGTATCTGCGTGAACCCAGACCTGAAAGTGACCCTGGCTTTTTGGGGACTGTTCAGTTTAAAACAACTATAATTTGAGTTGGAGATAAAAGATAAAAAATATAATTCCTCTCATAGAAATTCTGACAAAGCGTAGGAGGAAAGGTGTCGGGAACGTGGGAAAAAGATGTTTCTTCATTCCAAGTATTAACTGCAAGTGTTGGTGGCATTTTCTGAACCCCCTCCCTTCTTTTCTGTGTTTAAGAGAAGGCATTTTCTTCTGTTTTGTACTCAGTCTCTATAGCTTGTTGCTCCTGCTAATTGCAGGGGCTTAGAACGCCCACCTCCTTTTTCCTCAGTGAAACATCGTTATAATTCAATTCTCTTTGAAAACGGATGCTGAGTTCCTCAGTGAAGGTGCTTTAACTAGCAGTTGTTTTCTTTTAAGACAAAGGGAAACTTTCTTTCTGATGCAGGCTGTGTGATCCACTCTAAAATTAGGGGGATGCCACAGTTTCTTCTCCTACCAGGTGTCTGGGCTCAGTTCTTGTAGACCTAAAGACTTAAGGTATGATAGTCGTAACTGCCCAAGAAAATTCAACAAAATTTGGTTCCAACTGGAAAATGGATAGATGCCGAAAGAATACCTGTTTGATGAACACTAATACTGGCATACTACTACTGTTTCTGGGGCAACGGTTTGGACTAATGCATTTCTATAGGCTGAATAATGTGTATACCTGGCCTTTGCCTCCTATTTTAACTCAACCTTCCACCAATTCTTGTTTTTCTCCCCCTGCTACTTCCTCATCCCCTTCCCTCACTCACCTATTTCCTGTTTTCCCTATTTGTCTTGGAAAGTACGCATGTAACGTGGTGAAAATGTAGATCAGATTGTATATCTTCTTCAATGCATAATCAGAATGTTAATACTGTAGTGCCTTTTCACGTTCGCCCAATATATTCTATTGAGCTTGACCTGTAATATGTTTAACACCGAAATAAAATATTTTTACTGCCAAAAAAAGTGATACTAAAGTTTCAGAAAAAACAAACATGTCATACTTACCTGCTCTGTGCAATGGTTTTTCACAGAGCAGCCCCGATCCTCCTCTTCTTGGGTTCCCCAATGGTACTCCTGGCTCCTCCACCCCTCACTAGGGGCACTCATGTGTGCTCACTCCCGAGCTGCAGCTGTGCATCTGTAAGACACAGAGCATGTCTCAGCCCTGCCCCCCAGCTCCCTCCTTACTGGCTGGGATTTACAACCATTGGGTCTTGCTGCTGTGTCTATGACAATGAGGAGGGAGAGACCTAGGAGAGCCGCTGCTCGTTGGATCGAGATCAGGCCCAGGTAAGTATTGGGGGGGGGGGGGGAGCTGATTGGGGAGCTGCACACTGAAGATTTTTTACCTTCATGCATAGAATGCATGTAGGTAAGAAAAACCTTCTGCCTTTAGAACCACTTTAATGAAGTATCTAAAAGTGTGGAGCATCTTACCTTAACAGTGTGACTGGTGGCAACAGACAAAAAGATGTGTGATTCCCAAATAGAAGAGCCCAAACATACTTCTAATTTGTATTAAATTTATGTGCAGATGGGAGATGTAAATTACCTGCACCTCATTCCTTGTAGCATATAGGAATAATTAGAGCAATTAGGAATATGAATTTCTAAGTGCAATATATTACATGCTAACACTAAACATTGATTAAAATTATACAATTTATTTTCAGCAATACATAAAAAGATTTTAAAAGAGAACTAATTCAATTCCATAGTATATATCCAGTATATGCCATTTAATGGTTTTGAATTGAGATCCTCGAGCACAGGCTCTTGTACATGTTTCGCCACGTGACTTTTTCAGGATCTCAATTCAAAACGGCTAAATGACATATATTGATCCCCAAGCAAAACATGACTTATACAAAATAACCATCCATCGCCCTTGGTCTGGAGCTCCATGCAAGATTTCGCTTTATGGGGTAAGGAAGAAGAACATGAGAAAAGTGAGGGATCAGCCCAGAACTACACAGGAGTGAATGATCTCAAGTCAGTTGGGACCATAGTCCGCAAACAAACCATTGGTAACACAATACGCCGCCATGGATTGAAATCCCGCAGCACACGCAAGGTCCCCCTCGTCATGAAGGCATATGTACAGGCCCATCTGAAGTTTACCAATGAACATCTAAATGATTCAGAGAAGATTATGAGAAAGTGCTGTGGTCAGATGAGACCGAAATTGAGATCTTGGGCAATAAGTCGACTTGCCATGTTTGGCAGAAGAAAAATGCTGACTATGACCCTAAGACACCATCCCTACAGTCAAGCACGGAGGTGGAAACATTATGCTTTGGGGCTGTTTCTCTTCTAAAAGTTCAGGCTGACTTTGAGGGGCCAATGGACGGGGCCATGTATTGTAAAATCTTGAATGAGAACCTTCTTCCCTCAACCGGAACACTGCAGATGGGTCATGGACGGGTCTTCCAGCATGGCAATGACCCAAAACATACCGCAAAGGCATGGCTCAAGAAGAAGAACATTGAGGTAAGGGAGTGGCCTAGCCAGTCTCCAGACCCTAGTCCTATAGAAAATTTACGGAGGGATCTGAAACTTCGAGCTGACAAGTTACAGCCAAGAAACCTTAAGGATTTAGAGAAGATCTGTAAAGAAGAGTGGATGAAAAAATCCCTCCTGATGTGTGCAAACCTGGTAACCAACTACAAGAAATGTCTTACCTCTGTGCTTGCAAACAAGAGTTTCTCCACCTAGTACTAAGTCATGTTTTGCTTGGGGATCAAATGCTTATTTTACTCACAGAACTGCAACTCAATTTATAATATTTGTATCATGTGTTTTTTTTCTGAATTTTTGGTTGATATTCTGTCTCTATCATTTAAAACACACCTGGGTTAAAAATTATCAACTGCCATTTCTTTGTAAGTGGGCAAACTTACAAAATCTGCAGGGATCAAATAATTATTTTTCCCACGATAACTGCCCAAAATTCATTATATGACCCACTTATGTATTTATACATGTATTCATAATCTCAATTGCTTCTTCTCGAGAGAATAAATTCAGTTCAGCTAAACTTTCCACATAGCTGAGCTGCTCCATGCTCTTACCTGTATCAGTTTTGTTGCCCTTCTCTGCACTTCCCCAGTTTTGTGAACTGCTGCCTGTAACTGAACTGCATATTCCATTTATTTTCTGTCAAATGTAAGATTTAAACTGCAGTTCAAATGACTTGCTGTACAAGTTAAAGTGGAGCTCCACCTAAAAAGGGCAAGTTCCACTTTAAGTACTGATCTCCTGCTCCCTGTAATTAATTGGCAGCTTTGGGGAGCAGGTACCCCATTTTGACAGGTTTCCTCTCCGACTACCTAGTTGTCCTCCCCTTCCCTGATACATGACATGTCCCAGAAGACTACAGGACCATTCACAAGGTGCAGCGCTACCTGCACATGCAGAGTGGGCACCCGGTTGTGAAGCCGCAAGCCGTCACAGCGGGGTGCCCACACTTAAGGCGCTGGGGAACGGGACACCCGGTGAAACCAGTTGCAGTGAGCACACCACTGGATTGTGGGACAGGTTGAGTGGCTGTTTTTTAAAAGTCAGCAGCTACAGTTTTTGTAGCTGCTGACTTTTATTTTTTTTATCTTTGACTGGATCTCCGCTTTAAATATTTTCTTTATAATTTCTATTATCATTGTTTTAATCAAACCATAGAGTGTGTTTTTGTTTTAAATTGGCATACTGTCTAAGTGATAATGTTTCTCCCTTTGGGAGATCTCTCTTTACTACCTGTTTTTTTGACATGCGTTAGAACAAGAAGTGAGGAAAATTTCCCCTGAGACACAAGCTAGCAGAATATTTCTAGTAAACCCAAGAAGGCTTAAAACCCTTGGGGACATAACTGACATCTGCTTTCCCTTAAGCAAGGTTGCCTCTCAATTCATGTCCATGTCATGTTCATATAAAACTAGAGTTAAAAAAAAAAATCTGGCAGAAGTTCTAACTTTTTCCCACTCTATTTAAAGCTTGGAGCATTTCGGCCAAAGTTTAGCTTGGAGTTTTCAGATCTTCATTTATCTATAAGCATATTGTATTTGGTAGACTACAGCTCTCCCAGTGGTAATAGGAATATAAAAAGGTAGTAAGAAACAGCAGTTTAGGTGTTTTGATCTTTTGACTCAGGAATATTTTATGTGTAATTATGATTTTATGTGTGTTCTTGTTCTGTCTCCATCTTGCAGTTGTCTGCAATGCTCTTGGTAGGCAAAGTCACCAAAATATGCATAGCTGATATTTTCCAAATAATGTTCTGTATTCAGTATACAATGCCTAATATACATTTGTATAACTGTGTTTAATGATTTCTTTCAGGCAGCTATTCAGTCACAACTTGATGGTGTGAGAACAGGTTTAAACCAACTTCACAACGCATTAAATGATGTTAAAGACATCCAGCAGTCCCTGGGAAATGTTAGCAAGGACTGGAGGCAGAGCATTAATACCATTGAAAGCCTGAAGGATGTGAAAGATGCTGTGGTCCAGCATAGTCAGCTGGCAGCAGCAGTTGAGAATCTTAAGAACATTTTCTCAGGTAATCAAAGATGTTATGCATTTTGTTGGTTGGTTGATTGGTTTATGAGAAAAAGCAAGCCTTTTTAATTGGTGTCGTCTTTTTGCTGTGTCATTGGCCCAGCCTTATTCTCCAATATCAAATCATTAAAGAATACTGTGATCATGCAAGAGAATTGTGGTATAGAGAGGTACTTCAGCTTAAAGGAGTCCTATGGTCACAGCATACACTTGTGTTTTAGTGCTCAGTATAAATGAGTACACCCCAACAGATTTGTCAGAAAACCTTTACTTTCCTTTTAAGTATCAACATTTTCTATGAGACACTATACTACAAAATACTCCCACAAATGCGGGCCACTGATTGCAAATGTGATTTGTTAATTTGCACACACAAAAACGTATTTTTCCTAACATTCATTCAAGACCATGTTGCAAAAATGAATACACTCTAATGAAATTCTTAGGAGCAAAGGTAAATTTTAGACAACAAAATCCTAATTAACAAGAATTCAACTACAGGCATGTCTAATAATTCAATAAACAGTGTCCAGCAGACAGTTGATTATAAAAGGACAAAGAAAATCCCCTCCCCATTTCATGCTGTCAGCAATGGCACCACATGGAAGAGAAATCTCACAAGGACTGAGAAATAAAACAATTTCTTTACACAAGAAAGGTGAAGCTACAAGAAGATCAGTAAAGCTTCAATACCGTAGCAAAAGTGATACAAAGATGGAACTGCAACCATCTCACAGAGATGTCCAGTCCATCCATGGAAGTTAACACCTCAAAAGGAGTGTCTTCTGATGGGAAGGGTTGAAGAAAATCGCCATGCAAGCTCACTGCAGTTAGCTAAAGAGCTGGGTGATTGTTTCCTGTGACACAATACACTGCAGAGGAATGGCATGCATGGGTGTCGTCCATGAAGGAAGCCTCTCCTAAAGCCCATGCACAAAAAAGCCTGCCTGGAATTTGCCAGGACTCGTGCTGAAAAAGTAGACGACTACTGGGACTCTGGAGTGTGAAGAAACGAAGATGAATGTTTTTGGAACTGATGGCTTCAAAACTGTATGGTGTCGCAAAAGTGAGTACAAAGAAAAATGCATGGTGTCTACCGTGAGATGTGGTGGCAGTGTCCTTCTGTGGGGCTGCATGAGTGCTGCTGATGTCGGGGAGCTGCATTTCATTGATGATATCATAAATTCACAGATGGTACTGCTCTGTATTGAAAGAAAAGATACTACCATCACTCCGTGCCTTTGATCATCGTGCACTTTTCCAACATGACAATGATCCAAAACACATATCTAAGGCCACTGTTGTATATCTGAAGAAGAACAGGGTGAAAGTGATTCAGTGGCCAAGTACGTCTCCTGATCTGAACCCAATTGAACACCTATGAGGAATTCTGAAGAGACAAGTTTAGAATCAGTCTCCATCCAGCATCCAGGCTCTAAAAGAGGTCGTTCATGAAAAATGGAAAAAGTTGTTGCAAAATGTCGCCAGCTTGTTCATTCCATGCCTAGATGACTTGGTGCTGTCCTTACAAATCATGGAAGTCATACAAAATACTAGATAGAGTAGTTTTGTTGTGGGGTGTATTCATTTTTGCATCAACTAAATTGAGTATAACTGAATATTTTGTCATCTAAGTTATATTACTAACCTTACTTTCATGTACTGAGCTAAACAAATGTTCTATAAAACTCAGTTTGTCAAAGTTTGGAAATTGTTCTTGTGTTCATTGAGATATTGATTAAAATCTTTTCAAAAGGGTGTACTCATTTATGCTGAGCACTATATAACATCAGCACTGTGAGAACAATAAAAATGATAGTTATTTTTGACAATCCAATATAAACTTACTTGAAAAATCTCTTTTCATGTTGTGAATGATGCCTGCCTGTTTGTTCAAAGTTTGGAAATTGTTCTTTGTGTTCATTGAGATATGTGATTATAATTCTTTTCAAAAGGGGTTTGTACTTGGTTGACATCCAATATAAACTTACTTGAAAAATCTCTTTTCATGTTGTGAATGATGCCTGCCTGTTGGTTCATCACTTTCCACAACTTCCTGTATTCTCTGCATGCTTTGGAGATTTGCAGCTTCTCCTCTGCTGTTAAAGCATTACTAAAGGTTATTATCTTGTTAAACAGGTTATACTTGAACAAATGAATATGTGAATAGGTAGGTGCTGGAATGATTGAATAACACAAATGAAAAAATAAAGTGAAATAGCAATATCATCAAACAAATAATAGTCCTGAACAAAATATGATGAATATTGAACATAATATATTATGGTGACAGTCCCATAAAGGTGTAGTCCCGTAGACCAGAAATATGCTCTTTCACCACGTGTAGACAATAAGTGAATTTCTCACTCACCAGAAAAAACTGACCCCGATTAAGGTGGTTAAATATCGCTATGTTATCATAAGTATTGACGACCAATAACAGGCTCTCCTGGATCAGACCTCCCAATCTCCTAATAAGAGATATGGGTAGAGGGGGTCAAAGATGATTGCCCCCATTTGGGTGATCACAAGACTCTGGGTGCACAAATAGTGGATGGATACACAATCCCAGGCTCTCCTCAAGATAAAAGTAATGCTCCAAGCAGCTGACATAAACCAAATGAATTAAATTGCTCTAAGTGTAGTATTTATTGAAAATAGCATAACAAAATAAATAAGTATCGATGTACTCACATGTAATGGTGCCCATAAACCGGTACCAGTGTATGCAGCCTTTGTTTGTATGTATACCAGTAATGATGGCCGGCGTGCGTTGCAAGCCTCACTTTCGACAGGCCGGATGTGACGTCACGGGAACCCGAAAGTGTCGGGATCACGCTTCTACATACGTTTTGCCTGGCGGCGTCCTTAGTGACATACCGCCATTACCGGGCACATTAAATACGAGTAGAATCATGTTGATTGGACGACTCCAAAAACATGGCTAACTCAATTGATATTATGGGCAGATTAATGCTATGTGTATAGTGGCTGAATAAACTGCTGCTGTGTACAAGAAATGGGGACCTTTTAGGGCATAAATTTATAAAAGAACAAGGGGAACAAATATGCGGTTATAAACATAAATAAAACCTATTAATCTGTCTTGGAATAAGTAAGCATAATGAGACATGAACAATCATTATATAAGAGTAAACACCCTAAAGGCTGACCAGGATAATTTGTTAAAAGTGGAAAGTAAAAAAAAAATAAAAATCAATCAGTAAAAAAGGAGAAAAACCAAAACACAAAAAAAAAAAAAATATATAAAAAAGAAGAAAATAAAAATTAAAAATAAAATAAAAAATGATTCATATAAAAATACAAAAAATAGAAAAACACAAAAAACAAAATCAAAGAAAAATAGTTTTAAAAATTAATTTTCAAAAGGGTAAAAATTGGGGAATAAGGACTATAAAAATGATATGAAGAATGTGTATGCAAAAATGTGGATGGGTAAGGAAAGAGAGAAAAGGTTATACTTGCTTTCTCTGTGCAATGGTATTGCTCAGAGCGGCTGCGAACCTCCTCTTCTGGGGTCCCCCGCCAGTGCTGTCTGCTCCTTCTTATCTGTGTCTGCAAGCGCTGTGGGGGCAGATATTGTGGTCTTGCTCCCGAGTCGGGCTGTACGTGTCTAAATACACACATGGCGTGGCTTGCCTCCATCACCAATCCTTTCTCATTGGATTTGATTAATGGCAGCAGGGGCCAATGTCTTCCGCTGCTACCTCTGAGCCAATGAGAAGAGAGAAGGAGCAGTGCTGCTGTTATCAGGCACAGCACTGGATCGAGATTGAGCTCAGGTAAGTATTTGGGGGTTGGGGAGAGGGGAACTTGTGACGAACCATCCCTTTGTGATAACATTTTGCCCTGTTTCAGTTTCCCTATGTAAAGCTGTATATGTTAGCAGATGTAGACAGACATTCTACACTGTTTGTTTAGAGAAATGTGAGTCTTTCATTTCTATAGAGTTCATACTGTATTGTTGGTTGTAGGGTTTTGTTGTGGGTGGGGAAAACCCGGTGCCAGGCTGTCGGGTGAAGGTGGGGGTGAAGCTGTATATACTGAGCTGTGTTTAATAAAGATTTATTCATTTCACCCTACACGAAGTTCCGACTTGTGGTTTGGGATAGCAGGGAAGGAGTGGTTTTGAGCTCTAATACCTGCCTTGACAGAGCACTGGAAGACTTGCTGGAAAAGGGGACCATTGGGTGAGACGCATCGCTCCGCACGAGGAAGCCCAGGTGTAACAGTTCCGCCACAGAACTAATCTTGAAAAGTTTTTTTAACTTGATGCAGAGAATGCATTAGGGTGAAAAATCTTTAGCCTTTAAAAGCACTTTAACTTTAACATTTTCTAAGGATTACAAATCTCATGGTACCTTACCTACAAGCAGTTGTTGCTATACTGCATCCTGAAACTCTTCCTCTCAGCACATATGTAGTTTAGAAGGAATTCTGTGACAAAGCTGTGCCTATCAACAGAACATACTGAGTATGTGTAACGGAATTCAAGGAAGTAAATGTGGGGAACTTCACAAAGTAAATTTACAAACTTCAAGATCATTCAGAGTAATAGGAGTAGGCCAGAAATAATTGAAATACAATATGGAAATTAATATTTGATTTTATATTTTAACCATAAATACACATTAACATTTAAGATATTATGAAGTACAAAATAAAAACAACCTACACTCTATGAACATGAAGAACCTGTGACAGAGTAAGTGAGATCTTCTGCACAGTGAAGGAGTGAGGAGAGATAATTATGCTTTTCAATGGAAAAAAAAAGTGCAGTTTTCTAGGGATTAATTTACATTATGCCCATGCACCAGCTGCTTGAGTGCAAACATGTTGGTCAGCTGTGCTGATGTTCAGTCTAGGATGACAAATAGATTGAAAGCAGCAAAAAAAATAAAAAAGGGGGGGGGGGGGGGGGGGGGGGGGGGGGGGGGGGGGGGGGGGTGCAGTTGTTTTTGACACACACGGTGCCCTATC